GGTGATTGACTGAAATGTGCCATTTTCTGAGATACACATTATTTTCGCTTGAACGTCAAATACATTACTGTTTTTTCTTATCTAACAAATTAAATGCACCCAATCCACAAAGTGGTGGTGATCTGGGTATTAGTTTTAGCAGAATGATTCTGGTATTTTAGTAGCACTGTCTCTAAAATCAATAACAGTGTGTTTACTGCCTAGTTGACTCTACTTCAGCTTCCATTTCAGAGGAAGCACAGATCTTTTAGTTTCCTTTAAATAACACCCTGACATTTTTACGGTAAACTTCAACAAAGCAAAGGATGCCAGGTTGGCACCCCAATGCTTTAAAACCTGCCTTATTAGCCTCCCTTGAGATATTTTTGTAAAACCCATGATGCACAATTTGAGTGATGATTTTTACAGCTTTTTTGCATTTGTGAATAGAATGTTAATGAGAGAGCAACTGAAGTAGAAACAACTAGTATATAATCCCACCGTCATCTTAATATGAAGTTAGCAGGGGAGCATGGCCAGTCCTATCCCCCAGGGAGCCCTATCAGAGGAGTACCTGTGAAGTTCCACACACACAGCCCTTCCTCTTTCACATGGACCAGGGGAGATCCACAACAGAGGATCCCCTCATTGTGGAGGTAAGCTGGGCCCCTGTCTCAGTTTGATCTAGGCAAACCGTTAAAGTTGATTCAAAGAAGTGCACTCTGTCTTGTGAGTTGTGGCTACATTCATGCTGTACAACTTTTGTCCATTGTGCTCAGGTCTATCACCCTTACTCATATTGAATAGCACCTAACTCAATTAGACTATTCACATATAAGGTATCACTCAACATGAGGAATGCTGGCAGAATTGAGCCTTTGGTAAAACTAGAAAGTATAGCTGTCCCCACTAAACTTTATCACTGAAAATCACTTGCAGTATTTTTCTGTGACTTTTCAGATAAAAGAACAGTCTATCATCATTATTTTCACTCTGTTATCCTGTGTTCTTGCAATGGTTTGCTTCTGTTAGTTTGTGGAAGAGAGATTCTTTTTAAAAGGGATAACTTTATTTTATTTTTTTAATTGAAAAATCCTTTCCTTTAAATCCTTACATATTCTTTGTCATGCTTTGCTCTAGAGGGATAATCCACAATATAAAGAAAATATTTTAATCATAAATGTGTAATACAATCTTTCTTTGCTAGTAGTTGTAAAATTTGTTGAATTATGTAATGAAGTAAGGTAATTTTTTTGTCTATAATAAGGGGGGGAAACAACAAAGTAATAACCATCAGTGGCTATTAGCCAGGATGGGCAGGGATGGTGTCCCTAGCCTCTGTTTGCCAGAAGCTGGGAATGAGAGACAGGGAATGGATCACTTGATGATTACCTGTTCTGTTTATTCCCTCTGGGGCACCTGGCACCGGTCACAGTCGGAAGACAGAATACTGGGCTAGATGGACCTTTGGTCTGACCCAATAGGGCCATTCTTATTTCTTATGTTTGCCTTACTGGTTGAAATTTTGTTATTATTTTCAGTTCTAACACCACACTTCACTGTAGCAGATCGTAGCCTTCTGAGATGAATGGCTACTACAGTTACATGCAGTGTTGTTTTAATCGTGTTGGTCCCAAGATATTAGAGAGACAAGTTGGGTAAAGTTATATCTTTCATTGGACCAATTTCTGGTGGTAAAAGAGACAAGCTCTACTTCAGGTCTAGGAAAGATACTTGGGGCATGTCTGCACTTAAAACACTGGATCAGCGCAGCTGCGCCACTGTAGCGCTTTAGTGAAGATGCTCTATGCCGACCGGAGAGAGCTTTCCCATTGACATCGTTAATCCACCTCCCTGAGAGGTGGTAGCTATGTTGGCAGGAGAAGCTCTCCCGCCAGCATAGGCCTGATCTACACGGGAGGCTAGGTTGGTATAACTACATCGCTCAGGAGTGTGGATTTTTCACACCCTGGAGCAATGTACTTATACCGATATAGGTCTGTCATGTAGACCAGACCTCAGAGTGTCACAACTAAATACAAGGTGGAACAGATTGTTTCGCATAAATAGTTAGCACGTATTCTAAGAGACCAGTGAAGGTGAAGTGGTTAACATCCCTGTAGTCCAAGGACAAAAAAAGGCATTAGTGGGTTACAGATTGTTGTAATAAACCATAACAATGTGTAACTCACTAAACCCCCCTTTGTCCTATAACTACAGATGTGTTAACGAGCCACTTCACCATTTAGGTGGCTTGCTGCCTAGTGGAATGCATAGCCCCAAGTTAGGCACTTAGGCTCCCTGTACCATGTCTGGGGAGAGTTAGATGTCCTCTGGGTACAGGGCCAGCTCCAGGCACCAGCTTACCAAGCAGGTGCTTGGGGCGGCCACTTCGGAGAGGGGCGGCACATCCAGCTGTTCGGCGGCAATTCGGCGGACGGTCCCTCACTCCTGCTCGGAGCGAAGGACCTCCCGCCGAATTGCCACCGCAGATCGCGGCTTTTTTTGTTTGTTTGTTTGTTTGTTTGTTTGGCTGCTTGGGGCAGCCAAAACCCTGGAGCCGGCCCTGTCTGTGTATATATATCTTCCTACTGTATTTTCCACTGAATGCATCCGATGAAGTGGGTTTTAGTCCACGAAAGCTTATGCTCAAATAAATTCCTTAGTCTCTAAGGTGACAGAAGTACTCCTGTTCTTTTTTTCTTTGAGCATAAGAATGAGATTCACAGAGGCCAGCAAGCTGAGCAGAAAGCTGCTAATGCTAGGGAATGCTGAGAGAGGTGTGTGGCCTAAGCCCAGCCCTTTGAGTGATTTAGGTGCCTAAATCTAGACTGGAGGGAAGATCCTGCCTCTGCCCAGATTCACAACCATTAGCCCTTTCCTGGAGTTAGGCACTTAAGAGGGTTTTTGAAAGACACAACATTGGTGCTGCTGCTGCTGTGGTGGTGGCAGCTGCTGCCTTAGCCCTCCCTCCCGCCCCCTTATAATCTTTATCCCAGTGGTTGGAGCACTCACCCAGGCGGTGGGAGACCCATGTTCAAATCACTCCTCTGCCTCATGTGAAAAAGAAATTTGAACTTGGCTCTCCCACCTCTCATGAGAGTGCCCCAAGTACTCGGATATTCTGGGCTGGGGTCTCTCGCAACCTTTCTTTTTCAAACCGAGCCACTATATGCAAATAATTAAATATGTATTGGGCCAGAGAAAGAGTGAGAGAAAGTGACTCTGTAGGCCAGTGGTTAGTGGCATTAAGGCTCCTAAGTCTCTGTGAAACTAGTCCTTTGCTTCTGTGATTTTCTTCACACACCCCTAAACTTCTTTAACACTGTTTTCCAACCAGTACTGATGCTGAAATGGTCTTTTATTTCAAACCAGCTTTACACTCAACATGGAGCCTTAGCAAAACCGACAATCTAGACCACTTCTTTCGGGGAGCAGAGAACCATCTGCTTTACACCATCAAATCCTTAAAAGCGCTGGTGCTAAACCCAGTATTGAGGCTGCAGGGGCAATAACTCTTCTACTGAGAAAAAGCCAGGAGAGTTTTAAAGCTTTTCACACAATACTTCCTTATTGTAGGAGGATGCAATTGTTCCCAGATTCTTCAGGCACCGATTCTATTGGACAGTCCTGAAAGACTGTGTACTCATAGTAAAGATAAGGAAATTTAACAACAAAGCGTTCACTGGTTTCCCTTCCCCTCACCTGCTTTCACAGAAGGGAGTGATGCTCTCTTTCATAGAAATAATTTAATAAAAACCTTCATGCAAGATATGCCAATAGCGACTTCCAGCTAGCAGGCATTTGGCACAGATCCTGTTGTTTTGCCCTAGGGGAGGCTTCCTTGTTGCTTATATTGCAGAATTGCTATCTAAAGCCACAAAGGTTGTTAGTCAAGTCGTGGCTGCAGTAACGTACAGGATGTTACAAACAGTGAGCCTGATTCTCTCTACCACTCAGTGCTTTAATTGTGTATGGCTTTAAAACAAGTGACTTAGTGAAGTTACTCCTGATTTACACTGGTACAAGAGGAGAACTGGGTCCAGTAAGTCCATTCTCTGAATGGGGAAAAGGATCCACTAAGCACTCAGTTGCACATGTCCTAAGCAGGCGCAATTCCAATTGAAGTTCTAGCCGCCAAGATATCATTTCAAAGCAGTAACTTCACTGGGAGTTGAGCTTGTGCAAGGAATCTGTGATTAGTTGATAAATCTGTTCTTACGTCTGGCCACCAGTACTCATACAAACTCATGAACAATCAGAATTCAGTAGAGAGTAACAACACTTAGTTATATATGTATGTGTCTGTAAAGAGCACAGTAGTCCCCTACCACTATGTAATCTGGCTGCTTCTACAGACAATCAAACCCAGTGCACATGGGAGTTTGGGGGAGTAAGAAGAGCAGCACATGCGGGGAGATTGGGATAGAACTATTATGCAGAGTTAGAGTGGCTGGGACTGTCTTCCCAGATCATTATTCTCTGTGTTCTAGAAGTGGTAAATGCCAATTTCAGTGAAAGGCATTGTGCTAGACCCTGTACAAACATATACCATGGAGCAGAGTGAGGTTGGGATTTACCTCCTCCTTGGACTTGTGCATAAGTGGATATAACAAGAACTGGTATGTACCTTATTTAGTACAGTTTGTATTCAAATGCCAGACATAGCACTTGATCAGATTTCGTCCAATGTAAATACAGACTTTGTTTAAATGACCATTGTTTGCTATGAACATGTCTAATTTTTCACCAAATAGTCATTTCAGGGATTACTCTATACTGGGGTAGTCAATTATTTTTTGTGAAGGTCCACATTTCTTGGTCAGGGAATAATCAAGGTCCAGACTCCAGAGAAAATAATAAATAAATAATTATTATAAGTAAATAAAAAGATTTCAGGGTCTGCTCAAAAGCATCTGGTGGTCTGGATTTGGCCCGCAGTCCACCTGTTGACTACCCCTGCAATACACATTAACTTGATTATCATTTCTTAACTACGCTTTTTCATTGTAATTATTCAGATCCCTATGTGAAAATCCATCTGATGCAGAATGGTAAGAGACTGAAGAAGAAAAAGACAACAATTAAAAAGAACACTCTGAACCCCTACTACAATGAATCGTTCAGCTTTGAGGTACCCTTCGAGCAAATCCAGGTAATGTCAAACCCTGCTTTCCCCTTCCTCTGAATTCCATTTCTCAGCCCTCATAAATATTTAACGGGTACCTTGTTAATTCTGAAGTGTGCATGCCTTCATTAGCACCTATGTGCCAGCCCCGCTTTACGTTAGATGAGTGTGACTGCTTCAAGAGGGAAATGATAACATGCACGGAACTTATGAAGTGTTGATTCATCAGTGAAAAATGGATAACTGATGTTTTAATGTCAGAAGCAATGGATTCCAAAAAGAAAAACTAAACAGGAAGATAGTGATAAGAGAAGAAATGCACTGACAAAAGTTATAGAGATAGGAGTTAAATGAGTTTCAGCCATTTTCCCCATATCATATTCATTATTTAATTAGCCTCATCATATCTGTGGTATCTGGGGATGGAGGTGTGATGTGCAGTTTCAGTACAAAGGCTACAGTGGCTCCACGGAGTCGGGCCCATGCTCAGAAGGGGCCCCCACCTGTTCTGCTTGCACTGCACCCAGAGACCCCACTGGCTCCCCCGGCCCACCACTTGCTCCTCTCAGCCTGCCTGCCAGCTGGCTGAGAGCTCCTCCTCACTCCCTGGCCCCACCCCCTGCTCCTCTCAGCCCCCTGGTTGGACCCCCGTGCACCTCTGGCTCGGGCCAGTCTCTGCTTCCCACCACCTGTGTCCCCACCTGTCTCCCCGGAGCTGAGCCACCTGGGACTGGTGCAGAATCTGGCCAATCTCAGCCTGGTGTGGGGGGAGACAGTGCGGAGGGCTTGGCTGGGCAGGCCCTGGCCTAGCTGATCGCGCCACTCCCAAAGGGCCGGAGCTATTCATGGCCCTGGGACCAGCCCTGGCTGTGCTGCTGGCTCAGCTCGGTAGACATGGTCGCCTCCCAGCAGGGCTGGTGAGTGCGGCTGGGAGGCAGGGCTTGGGGGAATGGGTCTGTGGGGAGCATTGGGGGGTGCTGGGCTGTGAAGGGGCAGAGAGGATCTGTGTGTGTTGGGGCACTAGGTAGTGATGGTTCTGTGGGGGGTGCTGGGCAGTTGTGGTAGGGCTGAGGGCAGGGGTGGTGTTGTGCAGGGCGCTGTACATTTGTGGGTGGATCTGGGGGGCACTGGGCATAGTGGGTCCAGGGGGCCTCTGGCCATAGGGAGTTGGGGGGTGTTGGAGGAGGGGGCTGTGTGGTGTGGTGTGGCTTAGGCCCACCTCCGAGGGGAAGAGGTATGCTGGCAGCACAGGGCCAGGCAGGCCACTGTGCATCTGGCAACTGCCGGTTTGTAAATAGCGCCCTCGCACTGGGGGAGCAGGGCCTCCCCTGCCATGCCATGCCCTGCCCCATTGCCTCTGACTGGCCCCTCGCTCCAGGGACTGACCTCCCTGCACCATGCTCCATTGCCTCCATGGGGGCCCACTAATACGTTTGGCACCGGGCCTACAAAAGGTTAATCCGGCCCTGGCAGTTATAGTTCCTGTTGTTTGACTCTTCTGAATTATCCATTTTTAAAGGAATAAAATGCTTAAACACAAGTAAGTTAACTGACAGATCAAGAAAAATTTTCAAAAGCAGCTAAGTTCCATTTTCAAAAGTGATTTAGTAGCTAGATTTATCTAAATATCTCAGTATTCAGGCACCTAAATATAAAAAAATCAATGGGAATTAGGCACCTAACTCACTTACATGCTTTTGTACATCTGGCTCTTGGGAGCATAAGTGTCCAAGGCCCTGATTTTCAAAGGTATTTAGGCACCTAGCCCTCTTTGAAATCAATGGGCCTAAATATCTTTGAGGCTCGTGGCCTAAATCACTTATGAAAATTGGACTTAGGTACCTTTGAAAATTTTACCCGTCCTGTTTTAATTGTTTCAAATTTAACTTTCTTGTGGTTCTGTTAGAATGGTTTTATTACTGTTTACCTCATCAGAGAGTCTCAATTCAAAAATGTGTAATCGGGGACCAATATCATAAGTCATTGTATTTAGGTATTTGTTATAAGAAACTGTAGTTTAAAAGGTAAGTTGTGGTTATGTTACTTCCATTTATAGAAAAACGTATTTAAACATTATTTAAATGAATACTGTAAATGTTGCTGTGACCTTCGGTACTTCAGGTATAACATTCATTTAGGTAAACTTCCACTTTAATGGAATAATGGTTATACCAGGTACAAGATCATTAGAGAGCAAAGAGAAGAAAGGGATCATGGAGGCAAAGCAGAGTTGTCAAAACTAGTAGAAACAGCTCGTTAGCAGCACCAATGTGGACCGTAAAACAGGATACGAATAATGTCTTTCAACAACCTCATCATAAATTCAGATTTGTGTATTTGTGAACAGTCTGCAGCTATGCATGCACACAGAATTGTGCAAAAGAGAGGTGATCCTGGAGCACTGAGTTTTTAAAAAAAGACTTTAGTGAACTGCTATCTTAAAAGTGCTGAGTCGACCCCACTGGAGTGTGAAATCCTACACAGGACAAGCACAAAATAGGCAGCTACCCCATTCTGTTCTGCCAGTGTCCAGCTGTTAACCTCTGAGTGTGAAAGAATAGTTCAGTCTCCATGCCCACTCTGGCCACTCTGCTGAGGTTGCCAATACAGGTGCTTATTGCTGTTAATGGTCTTTTATAGCAATATCCACAGACATTTGCACTGAAGCCTACGTTTCAAATAGGCCACCAATCAGCCACCAGATGGCAATGATTTTCAGTCACTAATTAAGCCGTGCAGATTTGAATCAGTGACCAGAAAATGAAACTCATTTCATGATCAATCCTTTGAGCCCTCCATTCCCACCCTCTCAAGGCCACAACACTGTTTGTACTGTGTCCATCCTTGGGGGTATGACAATAAAAAAAAACATTCCACTAGTCATTAGGCTAATGGTTCCCAGTAACATCAGGCATTTTATTTTGTACCATAATAAGAATTTTAAACAGTTTTACACTAAGATAAAGCCAATCCACTTTAGGGCAATGATCATACCCTGCTCTAATACATAAATGTCCATTTAGGACGATCATTGACAATAAAAGCAAATACACTGCAAGCAACATTATGTTGTAAGACATCATTCTGGCTTCTAGAAATAGAAGCATGAAGGATATTGCATTTTATCATGACTGGATTTGGGGAAGAGAGTCTGAGTTTGATGTGCACTTTTGTCATAAATGATTATGTAAATACTTACATGCCTGGAGCTGTCATATCCTCCTTTGGCTCATTGATTTGTGCACTCTCTCATGGGAAGGGGCTATAAAGAGTCATTATGACTCAGCTCTTGTAGCCTTTACTCACAGGAGTAATCCCATTAATAGTAGTGGAACTACTATTGCAAGTAAGGACTGCAGGATCTGGCCTTTTTAGAATAAAAGGATGACTGACCCCTTGGCACTAAAAATATTTATCTTTGTAAATTACGTTTTCCCGCAATTCATAAAACCTACCTGTAGAAACAAATCCCAGTCTATCATGAATCCAGGAGCTTTGTACATTTATAATATCATGAAGCAGAGTTGGGAAAACAGGCATACATTCATCTTTTAAAATGAAAGTCTCGAAGGGAAAGTGTATACAGTTAAGTCAAATCAGCCTGAGGCTGTTTCATCTCAGATGCTATTGAGGAAAACCCAGTTTCACTAGGGGAATAAGTTATGTTTGTGCTATTCAGACAAATAATAAGGACCAAATGAGCACACACGCACTTACTAATGCACAACATAGACACCCTGAGATTCACTTAGACTGGGCCATATGGGAGGCAATACATAAAACGGTGTAATATCCAATCTCATTCCAACCTCCTCAGCATGTAGATTACATTAGCCTGACTTGCCTTAGACTCTCTCATGCACCTAAATGTAATTTACACCCTTATGTAACAACTCTGAATTTGGTCTCCTGAGTCTACATTGCTGCAACTAACATTGTGGAGGACTAGAAAAGAGGCCTGGAACACAAAATGCAACTAACAACTAGGGGAGTCTAAGAAGTTGTAAGTTACACTTCTGAATCTGATCCTCTGAGTTTGTGGGTGTAACTTACACAGTGGGGAGGATATAAGTTACACCAATGTCAACACCTTTAGATTCACATCTCAAGTTAGCCCTACAAGCCTATGCCAGTCTAATCATCTTTCCACAAAAAACAAGTTAAGCTGTTCGTTTTTTTTTAAATATTGCCTCAGAACCCATTTGAATAAGAAATTTGATTAGAAGAAAGCTGTGGGAGGGACTTTGGCTCAGGACCCACCCACAGTAGCTTTCTTGGAACGTGCTGTTTGTTGTCCTGCTTTGGTGTCCTGGCTTCTATTCCCGGCTCAGCCACTGACCAACCTTGGAGAAACTGAGGCACAGAGCGGGGGCAATGACTTGCCCATCTGTAAAATGAGGATAATGATGCTTACCTCCTTTATAATGCACTTTAAGGTTTACTGATGAAGTTCACTATATAAGAGCTAGGTAGCATTATTATTGACTTCCAAGGTGGGTGCAAAAGCCCATTCCATGGGAAGATAAAGTGCACAGTAGTCATTTCACATGCTCTGTTGCTGCCTGCAAAAAACAATAGCACTCTGACTCCTATGTAATTCTGTTTGTTTGGGATTTCACATCAGAAGCCCAAATAAAAAGAAGAGAATAAACAGCTGTGTTTTGGCTCTGTGGGTGGGTTTCTTCTCCAGAGGGTTGTACTTTTGCAGTCATGTTTCCTGTCGGAGCTGATTAAGATAATAAAAATTTGCATGTGGTTTTGAAGATATATCTCATAGTGGGCCAAAAAAAAAAAATAACAAAAGGTATGCCCATACCTGGCTATCATATTTTACTTCACACACACTTGATCCCTACTCACATGGTTCCTTTCAGCCAACTACTGCTTTCTCTTAGAATCTTTCTAAAGTCCATGTCTTCAAACATGCAGAAACAGGAGCTACATCATCTTATGTTGATATAAATAAATGTAGACCCAGGGTGCAGCCCTCTTGGTGTGGCAGGGTGGAAGAGCCACCCTACACACTGGCTCTGTGTCCACGATCTGGGGAGCACAAGAACACTGGTGTATGCCATCTCTTGAGCTGCACTGTGCATTCCTTAGCCATAACAAAGGATCTCTTCCGTATAATGAGCATACCAATCAATTGCCATGGCTGTTTTGATCTTGATTTAATTCGTAGGAGTTTGCTACCTATTATTTCAGACTTTGAATTCTCATATCATTGGGAATCTGCTACTACTTATTGTGCTACCCACCCTCCCCCTTCTCACCCACAAACTCTGAATTCCAGTTCTGTACTGTATTTACCTGCAGGTCTTGCTCATTGCTCTTTCTTATCTCCTTTTAGAAAGTGCAAGTTGTTGTGACTGTTTTGGACTATGACAAGATTGGCAAGAACGATGCTATCGGGAAAGTCTTTGTGGGCTACAACAGCACTGGTGCAGAGCTACGACACTGGTCAGACATGCTGGCCAACCCCAGGCGACCCATTGCACAGTGGCACACCTTACAGGTTGAGGAAGAGGTAGACGCCATGCTTGCAGTCAAGAAGTAAACAAAAAACAAAAGAAGCAAACGAAGCCTTTCTGCATTTGCTCACATAGTGCTCTTTAGCCAGTATCTGTAAATACCTCAGTAATATGGGTCCTTTCATTTCCAGCCATGCGTCCCTAACACAGATGAGTGGTACTTAAAATCCTGTTTTAATTTGCACAACTTTAAATGTAGAGAGCCCTCTAAAGGCCTTTCATTTCACCACTGCCCCCAGATCTACTCTTCTTTTAAGCAATATGATGTGTAGATAGAGCATGACAGAAATTATTTATTGTATCACACAGTTGTATATACCAGTATGCTGAGAATTTATTTCTAGTTTGTGTATTTGTATGTTGTAAACGTTTCCTAATCTGTGTATATCTAGATGTTTTTAATAAGATGTTCTATTTTAAATTATGTAAATTGACTGAGATATAGGAGAGCTGATAATATATTATAGGGTAACTATTGTATCGTCTGCATTCCAGCAAAAATTCCAACTTGTAAGGCACTAGTAGTGTTACACTGACATATTAAAGGACAACTTAAATCTGAGCTTTCAAGTGAACCGTTTAAAATAACAAGATATGCCTACGCAGTACACCTTGGAGGGGTGAATCCAATTTTGTAGACTTCTTTTTCACAGGCAACTTAGCATGATCTGAGCAGCTCCGTGGCTGACCTCAAGGAAGCGTAGCCAATATATCATTTTTTCTGTATATATTTAAAAAACTGAAATCATGGCTTTACACTGACAATTGAGGAAGCAGTTCCATGGGAGATAATTTAACATAACAACAACATGGGGGAGATTGTGTAGGGGGTGGGGGGGATTTCAGCAGTAATGAAACGCTGCATAGAACCATGAAAAAAAAAGTAGCTCTCCATTATCACCTTTATACAAAATTAACATACTGTGAATTCCAGTTGTGATTTCACATTCTAGGATTCTAATGAGTTTGCACATTAGACTTTGTAACAAAATATTTTATTATACTAACAGATTAGAAGGAATGCAGAATATTTTTAAGCACAGCCGTGTATGTTTATTATACAAGTTTCATGGTGAACAGACAGTATTGTAATCCCATCAAAAGACGACAAAAATTAGCCATAGTTCTGAATGCACTTCGAAGTAAGCCAAAAGAGAACAGCTAGTGACCTTTTTATATACTATTTATACTTAAGTTTTAATTTGTCCTTTAAAAAAAAGTGAAACAAAACAAACAAGTTCAAGAAAACTGAAGCAACCTCTTATGTATACTAGATGCTCGTTTCAGGAGGAGTTTTTAAATGTTTTCAATGTTATTCTGTAGTAAATGGCACTATTCTAAAGCTATTAGTCATTCCATAAGAGTCTTGAAAGACTGCTCTGTGTACCACTGTGACTGCCGTGTGTGCTTAGAAATGTAGTTTTCTCAGTGGATAGCAATCAATTTATTCCGTAGTGATAGTGTACTAATACTGCCATTCCCTTCTACTGCACTGCCGAAGGAATGCATAGCACAAGCAGGTCTAGTTACTATGGACCAATTTAGAACTGACGCGCTATGCGTAGGACAAGAATGTTATATAGATTGGGATGACCACACAGCATTTTGTCCAGCACTGTGCAATATTCCACATTCCACCCCTTCCCTCCCACCCCCCATTTGTAGACCGTTTCGTCTCATGGCTAGACAGCATATGATCTCAGATTATAGAATTTCATCCTGTCATTTTGGGCATTACGTTTTATCTCACATTTCATCCTTTGAGACTTTATTTTATGGACTGTGAATATATTTATAATGCTTTGAAGACTTAGTTCTTTTCAGTACCATTAAACACCAAAAATACACAATACACCTTTTGGAGGTGTGATTTTCTTTAAAAAAAAATAAATAAATAAAGCTACAGCCTGAAATTATGTTAAACTAAACAGGGATGTGAGCAATGGAGTCCATACTGAAAAATAAATTCCCCAGCCCCCTCCAGATTTTACTTATGAGGGATAAGGTGTAGCCCTACAGAATTCAGCCCATGTGTAGCAAACCAACCCAACTCTCATTAAATTGGGAAGCACAAAATGGATATGAATCACACCACTATAGTCGCTCCCCACTCCAAAATATAGGAATAGCAACACTAATCATTTTTAGAGTTGTTTCTTTTGACATGAAACATGGAAAAGGTACAACTGAGGCATATTCTGAGATAACGTGTGTGAACACAGGAAGTGTCAAGCTGGAATATTTTTTAAAGGACCAAATCCCACCAGAGAAAGGAACTAGGTTGACAGAGTTGCAGCAGAGAACAGGTATTCAGCTTCATGATATCCAGCTTTAAGTTGTTCATTCAAGAAATTTGCTGGTTCAAACTGCCAGAACCGATTCATTGTGTTAAGGTATTCTTAATGCATTCCTGCACTGCCAGACTGAATGTCACCAGAGAATTGGTTTGTAATGTACTATGACTCTCAGAGACCGAACCTGCTATATGACCAAGATGACATCTTCATCCTCAAAGAAGCCACATGTACCTTTCTGACAAAGCTGTGTAAAGTATTAGAATCTGATGCTGTAGAAAGATCCTAGTTGCCTTTGTGTATATTTACTGCCTGCTTGAGTGTTTCTACATGTGGGTTTTCTCTGTATCTTGTAGAAATGTTTGGGGTGTTTTATCCTGCCATATTGCTCGTGACCCACGAGCTGACAACTTTAGCTGTATTTTACCTTCATTTTTGATGAGGTGGTTTATATTTTGTTTCACTTTGTGTAGTAAATCCCCCAGTAGAGTTGTCGTTAAAATAACATACATAGATATTCAATAAAAATGTTTTATTTCCTGTTGATGTCTCAGTCTTTCAACTCTTTTGATTTAAAATAAAAAAGACATTGCTCCCTAATGTTTATGAGCACAGTCACAGTCTGGCTTCACTCTGATACAAGTGGACAAGTAACCAAAAATCTCAAACTTAACAGCTGCCTGGTCTCTGTAAATATAAGGGCTAACTACGAAGAAAACCCAGACACTGTAAATGTGCTTCCATTACTTTCCATCAGTCAAGGGCAATAAATTGTTTTTACAGCTCAAGTACTGTTTTCCCAAGTAGTTTGAAGTACTGAGTGTTTATTGGTGTCTATATTATGATTTAGGACTCATACTGCCCCATCAGGTGATGCATTAGCTTCTATACAGAGCCAGCAAGTAAGCCCACCCAACCAGCTTCTGTCCATTTACTTTGTGTTAAAGTGACAAACATCAGAAAAAATACTCATCTTTTTATTTAATTTCCACTCCAAATAGTGAGTGACTGAAATATCTGGAGGAACATGACCAGTGGCAACACAAAGCACAGAGAAAGGGTTCAGGATTTAAGTAACTCCTTCCAAGAAGAATGGTAAAAAATGAAGTAAGTTTTTAAAGGCATTTAACTGTCATTTAACATTTACAAATATTTATCACTCTGTGGGATTCCACCTACTGTCATTGCTTTCCTGTTCTCAGACCAGGAGGTAACTGTTTTGTTGGATCCCACACAGTGGTAACTGTTGATAAATATCTTTTAGCAGCAACCTCTGTATTGCACCACTGTTTACCAAGAAGTACAGTATCAGGGGTAGCCGTGTTAGTCTGTATCCACAAAAACAACGAGGAGTCCGGTGGCACCTTAAAGACTAACTGATTTATTTGGGCATACGCTTCCGTGGGTAAAAAACCCACTTCTTGGAGTCATGCATCTGAAGAAGTGGGTTTTTACCCACTAAAGCGTATGCCCAAATAAATCAGTTAGTCTTTAAGGTGCCACTGGACTCCTCGTTGTTCAAGAAGGTTTTGTTTTCAAATTGGTTTTGTAATTTTTTTTCGGTTTTTACACATCCCTGATTATTTTGTTTTATGAGTTATACTGCCACCACATAATCCTTATTTCATTTGCATTCAGGGCTAAGGGTAGTTTTCCGTGCTCCTCTTTACTGTCCAAATAGCATTTGCACAGTACAGTGTGTTAGGCTGGTTCCCTCTTTCTTGTAGGCTGTGATTCAGCAGTCCATCCCTATTAAGCTTAATTTCTCTTTGACATAAGTACTCTACTGAAGTGCTTTGCTCAACAGTGACAGCTTTAAGAACATGCTTAAAAGCTTTGCTAAATGTGGGGCTCTAGTGCTGCCCTTTCTAAGAACAAATGACAGCCTTACAGTCAGCGTTTAAGACCAGACGGGACCACCAGATCATCTAATCTGACCTCCATACAGCGCAGGCCACCAACACACTGAACCCAGCAACTGCAAATTAGACCAAAGTATTACAGCCCACAGGAGCCTAGACTGTTACGTGTCACAGGCAAGGAACAAAAACATTATGTGACAGATAATTCTGGCAAGTGGCCCCCACCCACATGCTGCAGAGAAAGGTGAAGAACCTCACCATGGTCACAGCTAAGCTGACCACAGGGAAAATTCCTTCCCGCTCCCTGACATATGGTGAGGAGCTAGACCCCGAGCACATCACCAAGAACCAACCAGCCATGCACCTGACAGACAGGGAATGCTCGATGTCACCTCAGAGTTGTCATTGTCCACCCTGCCCAGTGTCCCCTCTCCAGCCATGGACATCCCGGATGCTGCAGAGAAAGAAGAATTCTTTTTAAAACTGAATACATTTGGCGTGGGAGAGAGAGAATCCCTTCTTGACCCCTGCAGGTGGCCAGCTGAAACCCTGTAGCGTAAGCTTTTAGGCACATAAGACAAACCAGAAGTGAGCCCCAGGGCTGCTAACTCCTGCTCCCGCCCACAACAATTGACCCTGTCATATAGTTGCACTCATAAATTTGTCCAGCTCTCTCTATGTTGTTTGCCCCCACAACTCCTTTTGCAAGGCTGGTCCAGAACCTCACCCTGAGATGGTTAGAAACCTTCTAATGTCCAGCCTCAATTTGTTCATGGCCACTTTATACCCATTTTTTCTTGTGCCAATATTATTCTTCATCTTAAATAAATCTTCACCCTCCCTGGTCTTTATTTATAAAGAGTACTCATATCCCCTCTCAGCCTTCTTTTTTTGTTAGACTGAACAAGCCAGGCTCTTTTGGTCTCGTCTCATACGAGAGGCCCTCCATTCCCCTGGTCATCTTATAGCTTTTCTCTGTACTTGTTTCAGTTTAACTTCACCTTTCTTGAACATGGGTGACTAGAAATGTACACGGTATGCCCAATGAGGTCTTTCCAGTGCCTTGAACATAGCCATTAATAATGCTCTAGCTGTGTAAATGCTTTGCCTGATACATCCTAGGATCACATGGGTGGTTCACAGTCATCCTGTGATCAACCCACATACCCAGGGCTCTCACCTTGTCTGTCATTTCCAATCAATAAGGCCTGACGCTTGTAGCAGAAATTCTTATCATTACAGCCTAAGTGCATGACCTTGCATCTTGTACTATTGACTTTCATCCCAGGTCTATCATTCCAGTCTTCAAGACCGTCCAGATCTTCCTGTATAATAGTCCAATCCTCCTCTGTATTGCTGATGCCTGCTAACTTTGTGTCATCAGCAAAATTTCATTTGTGTGCTCCTACCCTTTGGGCCAAGATCGTTATAGGCTTGATTGCAGCTCAGGTTTGAGAGCCCTCAAAGCCTACTGAACACCATGAAGAAGTTCAGCACCTCACAGGTGTGCTGAGCAGTTTACAGGATCAAACCCCAAATGATGGAAAATAACACAACTCGTATTTTATGGTAGACTTATGACGAAATATATGTATCAACAAATGACAATTATAAAGCAAGCCTTTGCTTACAGCCA